GTAAAGGAAAAATCAGAATTTTTTTTAAATTTAAAAAGTTCAAATTAATAGTTAAAAGTGTTCTTGAAAGAAAATTTAAAAGATTACGCATCCGTGGCAAAGAGTTCACTTCTAATATATTATTCTCTTTTTACAAAGGGTATAGAATCAAAAGGAAACTTACATATGCAAATACACTACAACAAAATGGTATGACAACGAAAGATTTGATATCTACTTATAAGTGTTGGCTTTATACAAAGAATTTACCCAAAGTCTTATGGTCAAAAGGTATGATATGTGCAACTTATGTTATTAATCGAACTCTATATGAGCTTATATTTGGTGAAAAATCAAATATTAAATATTTTAGAGCATTTAGTTCTTCATGCTATGTTTACATACCAGACTCAAAGATAAACAAGCTTGATGCTAAGGCCAAGAAATACATCTTATTAGCTATGATTAAAAAAAAAAAAGGTTGAAAATACATGGATCTACAAAAACATAGGTATATGGTATCTCAAGATATTTGTGTTCGATGAAGTTTCTTGTTATTATCCTTCACAAGTATTTTTTTTTTAAATATCAATCATAATAATAAAGGTGATATATGTTCAATTTTCTTTGTCATATAATACTCCTATAGATTTTAGCTTACCTTCTTCCTCATTTGTATCTATTATATTAATTTTTCATCACCAATGATGGAGCAAAGTGATATAGAGAGTAATAATATCTATAAAGAAAAAATTCTAACACAGAGATGATCAAAGAGAATAATTATCAAATGTTTTTGATAAAACTAAAGGTGTTAAGGTGTGGGAGGTTGCTATGAATAAAGAAATGGATGATCTTCATAAAAATAAAACTTATGATCTATAAGGTGAAACGTAAGTATAGATCATTATAACCAAGATTTATTGCAATGTAAGTCAGATGGAAGTATAGATCATTATAACCAAGACTTATTGCAAGAGGTTTTCTCAAAAATATATATTAGATTATGAGAAAATCTTTAGTCGTATAACCAAGATGACATCTATTAGGATGGTGATTGCTTTAATAACTAATCTTAAATGGAAGTTTTAGTAAGTTGATGTAAAGAATGCATTCTAATATGGTGAAATTGACAAGAATATTTATATGGAATAACTACCAAGGTATACTTTTATTACTAAACCAAATTATATTTGTAAGCTCAAGAAGGCTTTCTATGGGTTAAACCAAGCTCTCAGTATGGAAAAATTACTTAATACTAACATTTCTGTGATTATTTTTCTTCTTATTTAGATCCTAGCTTATTTATTAAAAAGCAAGGAAGCCTACATATTAATGGTCTTCTATATATGGATGATATGATCATTATTACTTTACGATGAAATATAGATTTCAAAGCTTTGTGGTGATCTTTCTCTTCCATTTGAAATAAAAGTCTTGAGAAAACTTAATATTTTTCTTGATTTGGAGGTAATGAATAGAAAAGAAGATATATTTATCTCTCAAACAAGCTATGTCAAGAAAATTGTTGAAAGATTTAGAATTAATAAAAGTAAGAATGTTTCTATTTTGCTTGATGCAAATATAAAGTTAAGTTGTAATGATAGGTAGATTCTTTTTTACCATTAATTTTTTTGTGCTCTTTTTTGTAATCTCATCTACTTCACAATTACAAGATTAGATATTACATTTTTAGTTAGTCTTATAAGTCATTTTATGCAATCTCCAAGGAAGCCATATTTTGATGCAATAAAAAGAATTTTAAAATATATAAATTTTACCTTTGATTTAGGATTATTCTATAAGAAAGACATACATCTTAAATTGATGCTATTTTGAGAGATGATTTGGATAATCGTAGATCTACTTTTAGCTGTCTTTTTACATGGTTTTACTTGCATTTCATGGGTTACTGCTTTGGAATGTATGTGGTTAAGATGTCTAATCGAGGATGTATGCTATCAAATTAATAAACTAACTATTTTATAGGATGACAATCAAAATGTCTTAAAATTTACTATAATTCTAATTTATCATGCAAGAACCAAGCATATTAAAATTGAATATTATTTTATCTAGAAAAAGGTGTTTCAAGAAGTCAGAGGTCAAAAGTAAAGATATTGTAGTAGATATTTTTACTAAATCTCTTTTCAAAGGACTATTTAAATATGTTCGAAGAAAGTTAAGATTTATTTTTAAAAGCATACTTTAAGGGGGAGTGTTAAGAAGTTAAAGTATATTTTAGAAGATCACAAATTAATATCTTACCTTTTAAATAAGATTATATAGAGTTATAGAGATTGGATTCTTGTAATTCACATCTATAAATAGGTAGCATCTACATGCATAGATCCATTCAAGCCTCAAGTATTCAAGTAAATATTCAAGTTCGGTAAGTACTTTTATTTTCGAGAAGTTTAATATAATATTCTTTTCTGTTTTGATTTCTTCCTTTATTTGATTTGATCTCAGGTTAGTAATACCTTCTTACTACTATTTAAAAAAAGGATTTCTTCATACTGTGAAGACGTGATAGTCTTGAAATTATGCTTGTATGACCAGAGGTATGTTGGATGATTATTGACCCTTCCATTCTTAGTACATTCGGGATGGCTTAGGTATGCCATTTGCCTCCCGATAACCATGGCATAGTGAAATTATCTACAAGAGTAGCTAATATAGAGTGTGTAACAATACTTAATTTTAGCTCATATTAAGGCATAGCTATTGACAAGTATTCAGAAATTTCTAGAGTCAGTGTTCTAATGGGATAAAGAATCCTAATACAAGGAGTTCTTATAAAGAAAAAAATATTAATAATTAAGATTTGGCTCTTCTATAAATATCTCTTGGTGGAAAAAGAATAAAATGTTAGAAATACTATTAGTACTCTTATGTTTTTCTCTAGGATTATATAGAGAGGGTGATTAAAAAAGATATAAATTCTTTGAAATTTATATGAGAATGTGTGCAAGAAAGTGTGCTGCTGAATAGAGAACTCAAAAGTCTTATAATTGATCTAACATGTCATAAATATAAGTAATATATCTTATAATTGATCTAACATGCCATAAATATAAGTAATATTTGTTGAGTTATGATAAATCTTATATCGACTTTCTAATTTGCTTATTTGATCTTTGAAATTTTTTATTTTAAAAAAAATTCCACCCGAGCAATGATAATTGATTACTCTAATACTGTAAAGAATTTAATTTTCTCTATCGATATAAAAAAAATTTATTGAATCATATTAAATCTTATATTAATTTTTTGACAAGTTTTTAAATTTATTAATTTTGATTTTTTTTAGTTTTTATTTTTATTTTCTCTAATAAGCTTTGACCATTCATCGGGTTCTGTAGGTGACTGTTTGTGAATTTTGAAAATGAGGGTATCGTTACAAAAAAAATCTAAAAAGAGAATATTTTCTCTGACAATCGTATGTATATGTGTATATATATATATATATATATATATATATATATGCTTTGATGTATAAATACAAAGCATATATAGTAATAAATTATAATTTTTGTTAAGATTTTCTAGAAAGTAATTAATTATAGGGGAATCCATATCCATCTGGCCAAATCTCGATAAGGAATTAGATTGAATTTTTTTTTTTCCATTTCATACATCTTCCACCTTAGCCGTATTATTTTTAGTAACATATATTCTTATGATAAGTATTGAAGACTTGTCTAAAGATATATATTGCCATTTATGTTTTTACTTTTTACATGGGAAAATAAAAACTCTTTTATAATAATGTTAATATATATAGATATATGATATGATTATCCATGAATAATTTTAAATTAAAAATCATGAAAAATTAAAATACTTTTGGTGATAAACATAGTTTATTCTAAAAACATTTTTTTTTTCCAAAATAAAAGTATACATTAGACGTTCTTGATGATATGGGTCTCCCTGGAGCTGCCCCAATTAATTTTTGCATGGATCAAAATCTGAAGCTCACTCCATTAGATGATGAACTCTTCAACGATCGATCACAATATAAAAGATTTGTTGGATGACTTTTTTTATCTTATAATCACAAGATCCGATAGAACCTACTCAATGCACCTTCTCAGTCAATTTATGCATCAACCTATAAAATCACATCTTGTTGCATCAATTCGAGTTTTGGACAAGAACTATTTTTTTAGCAGATAATAATCTAAATTTGACTATATATTATGAGACTGATTGGGGAGATTGCTCAACTACAAAATGATGTTTTTCTTGGAATACTCTCATCTCTTGGAAGACAAAGAAGAAACAATCAACTATTTCACGTTCTTCAATGCAAGCATAATATAGGATTGTGGATTTACTTAGTTGAATTATCTCTTACACTTCGATCATGCCAAACTACATTGTGTTAATAAGGCAGCACTACAAATTGTAGCAAATCCCATTTTTCATTACTGCATGAAATCTATTGAAATTGGCTGCCATATGATGGGAGAAAAAAACCTAGTCTGATAAATTACTACGGTATTTATTCTGTCATATGCTCATATTACATATATTTTTACCAAACTACTTGGAAAGATACTTTCATTCTTATCTATTTAACTTGAACATCTTGAATATTCATGCGCCACCTTGAGAGGGAGGGTTACAAATGATAATATCTTTACCAAAATCGGAGAAATTAAATGAATGATTTATTCTTGAGATAATATTCTCATACCAATAATTATATGACTCAGATTTTATATATCATGTAAATAAGTGTCAACAAAATATAAATATAATTTAAATTTATTAAAATTATATCCATGTACCTGTGAATAACCCCAATTATCTCCTCTTTCTTACAACTTCACTAATCAGGCATGGTATCCCAGCTAAGCTAAATTTATTGTTTCTATATTTATGTATTTTATTTCGATTATGAAAGAGAGAGGATTTCTGTGCTATTTTCTTATGCCAATGTAGTTTCTGGATGCTATGGATAACCATCTCTTTTCTGCCACTGCCTTTTGCAGGAACTCGTAAACTCGATAATGATTCTTGTTCTTGCTTGCTTCATTGCTGGGTGTGTGGCAGCTTCAAGTTACAGCGTGACGGACTTCGGAGCGAAAGGAGATGGCGTAACAGATGACACTAAAGTATAAGAAATCAATACATCCTCTTTGTCTTTCTTTTTTCTTTTATGTCTGTATGCGTGTATATGTTTAAGCAATACATGAAGAGATCTCTGCCTCTTTTTACATGATATGTTTCCAATATGATCACATTTGTTCGGTGTTTTATTCCTCAGGCGTTCTTGGATACATGGAATGCAACATGTCAGAGTTCTGTATCCTCCATTCTCCTCATCCCTGCAGGGAAGACGTTCCTGTTGAATCCCATCGTCTTCCAGGGTCCCTGCCAGTTTTACGTCCGTGTTCAGGTATTGCGGCTGCTTGTCGCTGTCAGCAAGTCATCGAGTCTTCTGCGCTCTCTCTCTCTCTCTCTCTCTCTCGTGCTGTAGGTTGATGGAGACATCATACGGCCCGGCAAACTCTGGGGAGGAAAAATTGATCACTGGTTACTGTTCAGCCATATCGATCGCCTGTCTATCGTCGGATCCGGGAAGATTGACGGTCAGGGAGCCGCTTGGTGGTCGTGCAAGACCAATCATGTAAGCGTTTCGTCTTCTCCACTTTCCTGTTTTTGTTTCCGACACTCTCAGGTCAACGCAGCTCATCCTGCTTTCTACGTGCCTTCTCTTCCTTCTGTTTCTGCCGCAGCAATGCTCAGTTGCTCCCAACGTAAGCTTTCTCAACTGCTCTATCTTGGAAATGCACGCATCGTAGCGTTAGGAGACTGTAATCGCAAGCATTAACTGGGATATATGCAGACGCTAGCTTTGCTGTTCTGCAGCAGAGCGCTGGTGGCTGGTCTGAGGCTCATCAACAGCCCCCAGATGCACCTAGTGGTGGGTTTCAGCTCCGCAATCCACATCACCGGTGTCACCATCACCGCCCCGGGCGACAGCCTCAACACCGACGGCATCCACATCCAACAGAGCCGTCACGTCATCATCTCCGACTCCACCATCGGTACAGGTACACCTTCCCGTTCCTGTCACCGCTCCTTGTGATACGTACAAAGAAGAATAGGTAACAGTCGATGTTGGCTGCAGGAGACGACTGCATATCGATAGGCACTGGTTCTTTCCATGTTAATGTCAGCTGGGTAACATGTGGCCCTGGCCATGGCATAAGGTTTGTCTCCTCTCACAACAACTAAAGAATTAACTCTTTGTATACAAAGAATCAAACTCACATCAAAGAAACATTTGTTTAAGCCGAGCAGATAAAAATGAAGACCTCCCTGATTGATATGAAGAATCAAAACATTTATTCTAGTCACAGATACTGATCGGCACTTATCGGTCGGTTTGCGTTTCTAGCGTTGGTAGCCTGGGAATGGACAACTCTCGTGCGGAAGTGTCGGATATCCAGGTTGGTCATTGCAACATATTTAGCACAATGAATGGCGTAAGGATAAAGACATGGCAGGCAAGTCTCCCATCCTCTCCTCTTCTTCAACCCAAGGTGTTTTCTCACTGCTATAACTTAGCTTTCTTTCTTTCTTCTTATCAGGGAGGATATGGTTATGCAAAGACGATAATATTTGAGAATATCAACTTCACTGCAGTGATGAATCCTATAATAATTGATCAACACTACTGTGCTGCCGGTGTCTGCGCCGAGAAGGTATATCGAAATCTTTGAAGTTCTTAGGTAGTTCCAGAATTTATCTTCTGATGTCCTGTTAATCCAAACTTCTTCTGTTGGATGGAGAAGTCGTCAGCTGTGCAAGTGACTGATGTGCGATTCATCGAAGTAAGAGGCACATCAAGCAGCCAGGTAGCGATCAACTTAAACTGCAGCCAAAACGTGGCCTGCACGGGCATCACCATCCAGAATGTTGAGATCCAACCTGCACAGCAAGGAGGGCAAGCATCATCTTACTGCTTCAACGCCCATGGAACAGTGACCGGTGTCGCCATGCCTGCGGTTCCTTGCTTGATGCCATGAAAGAAAAGTACAGCATTTGTAAGAGCTTTTGGCAGAGTTCTCTGCTCCTAAAATAATGTTTTCTATAAATATTGTAAAAAATGTTAAACTAAGTGTTTTAAAGCCAAATAGTTGAGCTGACAAATATGTAGTTTTTAATATGATAATTTATCAAAACTGAATATAAACTCTGTTTTCGATTTTCGAATTACTTTTGACCGTAGTTTTCAAATTTCTCAAGTGTAATGGTTTTGGTGGGAAAATATGCAAATTGATCATTTATACTAATAAACTTCAAACAATAATAATTTCATAAGTCACATTTTCTTCACCAAGAAAATCTTGAAAATAGATATTATCATCCTTGTGACTCTAATTTCATGGGATATCGTGACCAGCTAGAAAAACTAGCTGACCGCGAGAATGAAATTGACCACCACATGCTGGAGAAAAGAGTCGGTGTAAGTGCCCTTCTTCACGAAGGGAGAGAGGACGTTGTCGTCGTTCCGGCTGTCTCTGAGCTCCAGCTTCCGGGCCTTGATGCCAAGTTGGAGCCGTCGACGTGCGCGACGCTGCACGTGAGCGTGGCCTCCATGGCAACTTGGAGCCACTTGTTGAACCGCCAGACAAACTCGAGGAAGATGAAGCGATGGAGGCTGGCCACGGCGGCGCTGTCGAAGGCGATTGCGGAGGCGTTCTCCAGGAGGTCGAGTGCGAGCGTCTCCGGGTCCTTGCCGAAGGCGAGGCCGCATATGTTGTCAAAGCAAGCTTGACACTCTCCATACGAGAGTGTCAATCTTATATATATATATATATATATATATATATATATATATATTAAAAACACTATATATATATATATATGTATATATGGATATATGTATATGTATATATATATGTATACATATATATATACATACATACATTCTATTTTGAAAATCTCAAAGATAAACCTCAAAAGCTGTCATATATTTTCTTGCCTAAATTTAAAAAATTGACTTAAATTATATAGTGTTGTAAAAATAATACAAATTATTTTATGGATAAAAACCAACCCAGAAAATATTGTAAACAATTGGTGGAAAAAAAATTTGGATTTGCATGGAAAAAAATGATAGTTTTTGGAAGGGATAATTTTTGGAAGATTAAAAATAGAGGGTGACTGTTTGTGAATTTTGAAAATGAGGGTATCGTTAGAAAAAAAAAATCTAAAAAGAGAATAATTTCTCTGACAATCGTGTGTGTATATATATATATATATGCTTTGATGTATAAATGCAAAGCATATATAGTAATAAATTATAATTTTTGTTAAGATTATGTAGAAAGTAATTAATTACAGGGGAATCCATCTGGCCAAATCTCACCTCATGGATATTCTTGGCAACCTCCATTAATCAATTATAGTAGTTTTCTATCTTGCCAACATAGACAATGTTTACTAAACAAAAAATAATTTTACTTTAAAAAGCTCTCTAATTGATTTTTACATAATGCATTTTTTTTATAATTTATAAAAATATCTCTCTCCCTCCACCAGAAACTTCTAATCGTCATCATCGTACCCCTGACCATCATCACCACCCTCGATTGTAGTCATCATCATCATCTTGCACTCTCCCCAGGAACGATGCCGCCTGTTGCTCCCATTGTAAGCTAAGCAAACATAGATTATTATGTGAAAATTTATCTAGATAAATGTATTTTAGATCTTTATTATAGATATTTTGGTTGCTATTGAAAGGTAAAAATTACAAAAAATAAAGATGGATAATCCTATTAATTTGTTGTTTAAAATATTATTTTTTACAGTTATCATAATAAGAAATTTTATATACTATCAACCGAATAAATCTCTTTATGAGTTGAAACAAACTTCTCCAATTCATCAGGTTTTACTTTTTACATGGGAAAATAAAAACTCTTCTATAATAATGTTAATATATATAGATATATGATATGATTATCCATGAATAATTTTAAATTAAAAATCTTAAAAAATTAAAATAGTATATTCTAAAAACATTTTTTTTTTCTAAATAAAAGTATACATTAGACGTTCTTGATGATATGGGTCTCCCTGGAGCTACCCCAATTAATGTTTGCATGGATCAAAACCCGAAGCTCACTCCATTAGATGATGAACTCTTCAACGATCGATCAGATTTGTTGGATGACTTTTTTTATCTTATAATCACAAGATCCGATAGAACCTACTCGATGCACCTTCTTTGTCAATTTATGCATCAACCTAGAAAATCACATCTTGTTGCATCAATTCGAGTTTTGTGATATTTAAAAGAAACACTAGAACAAGAACTATTTTTTTAGCAGATAATAATCTAAATTTGACTATATATTATGAGACTGATTGGGGAGATTGTTCAACTACAAAAAGATGTTTTTGTTTGAATACTCTCATCTCTTGGAAGACAAAGAAGAAACAATCAACTATTTAACGTTCTTCAATGCAAGCATAATATAGGATTGTGGATTTACTTAGTTGAAGTATCTCTTACACTTCGATCATGCCAAATTACATTGTGTTAATCAGGCAGCAATACACATTGTGGCAAATCCCATTTTTCATTACTGCATGAAATATATTGAAATTGACTGCAATATGATGGGAGAAAAAATTTAGTCTGATAAATTACTACGGTCTTTGTTCTGTCATATGCTCATTTTTACATATATTTTTACCAAACTACTTGGAAAGATACTTTCATTCTTATCTACTTAACTTGAAGAGGGAGGCTTACAAATGATAATATCTTTATCAAAATCGGACAAATTAAATAAATTATTCTTGAGATAATATTATCATACCAATAATTATATGACTGAGATTTTATACACCATGTAAATAAGTGTGAAAAAAATATAAATATATCTTGTACAATTAAGAAACATATAATTTAAATATATTAAAATTATAAATCTCCTCTTTCTTACAACTTCACTAATCAGGCTAAATTTATTGTTTCTATATTTATGTATTTTATTTCGATTATGAAAGAGAGAGGTTTTCTGTGCTATTTTCTTGTGCCAATGTAGTTTCTGGATGCTATGGATGACCATCTCTTTTCTGCCACTGCCTTGTGCAGGGACTCGTAAACTCGATAATGATTCTTGTTCTTGCTTGCTTCATTTCTGGGTGTGTGGCAGCTTCAAATTACAGCGTCACTGACTTCGGAGCGAAAGGAGATGGCGTAACAGATGACACTAAAGTATCAGAAATCAATACATCCTCTTTGTCTTTTTTCTTTTATGTCTGTATGCGTGTATATGTTAAGCATATACATGAAGAGATCTCTACCTCTTTTTGCATGATATGTTTCCATTATAATCACATTTGTTCGGTGTTTTATTCCTCAGGCGTTCTTGGATACATGGAATGCAACATGTCAGAGTTCTGTATCTTCCATTCTCCTCATCCCGGCAGGGAAGACGTTCCTGTTGAATCCCATCGTCTTCCAGGGTCCCTGCCAGTTTGACGTCCGTGTTCAGGTATTGCGTCTGCTTGTCGCCATCAGCAAGTCCTCGAGTCTTCTGCGCTCTCTCTGTCTCTCTCTCGTGCTGTAGGTTGATGGAGACATCATACGGCCCAGCCAACTCTGGGGAGGAAAAATTGATCACTGGTTACTGTTCAGCCATATCGATCGCCTGTCTATCGTCGGATCCGGGAAGATTGACGGTCAGGGAGCCGCTTGGTGGTCGTGCAAGACCAATCAAGTTAGCGTTTCGTCCTCTCCACTTTCCTGTTTTTGTTTCCGACACTCTCAGATCAACGCAGCTCATCCTGCTTTCTACGTGCCTTCTCTTCCTTCGGTTTCTGCCGCAGCAATGCTCAGTTGCTCCCAACGTAAGCTTTCTCAACTGCTCTATCTTGGAAATTCACGCATCCTAGCGTTAGGAGACTGTAATCACAAGCATTAACTGGGATATATGCAGACGCTAGCTTTGCTGTTCTGCAGCAGAGCGCTGGTGGCTGGTCTGAGGCTCATCAACAGCTCCCAGATGCACCTAGTGGTGGGTTTCAGCTCCGCAATCCGCATCACCGGTGTTACCATCACCGCCCCCGGCGACAGCCCCAACACCGACGGCATCCACATCCAACAGAGCCATCACGTCAACGTCTCCGACTCCACCATTGGGACAGGTACACCTTTCCGTTCCTGTCACCGCTCCTTGTGATACGTACAAAGGAGAATAGGTAACAGTCGATGTTGGCTGCAGGAGACGACTGCATATCGATAGGCACTGGTTCTTTCCATGTTAATGTCAGCTGGGTAACATGTGGCCCTGGCCATGGCATAAGGTTTGTCTCCTCTCACAACAACTAAAGAATTAACTCTTTGTATACAAAGAATCAAACTCACATCAAAGAAACATTTGTTTAAGCCGAGCAGATAAAAATGAAGACCTCCCTGATTGATATGAAGAATCAAAACATTTATTCTAGTTACAGATACTGATCGACACTTATCGGTTGGTTTGTGTTTCTAGCGTTGGTAGCCTGGGAATGAACAACTCTCGTGCGGAAGTGTCGGATATCCAGGTTGGTCATTGCAACATATCTAGCACAATGAATGGCGTAAGGATAAAGACATGGCAGGCAAGTCTCCCATCCGCTCCTCTTCTTCAACCCAAGGATGAAAGCCATGGTGTTTTCTCACTGCTATAACTTAGCTTTCTTTCTTCTTATTAGGGAGGATATGGTTATGCAAAGGCGATAATATTTGAGAATATCAACTTCACTGCAGTGAATAATCCTATAATAATAGATCAACACTACTGTGCTACCGGTGTCTGCGCCGAGAAGGTATATCGAAATCTTTGAAGTTCTTAGGTAGTTCCAGAATTTATCTTCTGATGTCCTGTTAATCCAAACTTCTTCTGTTGGATGGAGAAGTCGTCAGCTGTGCAAGTGACTGATGTGCAATTCATCGAAGTAAGAGGCACATCAAGCAGCCAGGTAGCGATCAACTTAAACTGCAGCCAAAACGTGGCCTGCACTGGCATCACCATCCAGAATGTTGAGATCCAACCTGCACAGCAAGGAGGGCAAACATCATCTTACTGCTTCAACGCCCATGGAACAGTGACCGGTGTCGCCATGCCTGCAGTTCCTTGCTTGATGCCATGAAAGAAAAGTACAGCATTTGTAAGATCTTTTGACCGTAATTTTCAAATTTCTCAAGTGTAATGGTTTTGGTGGGAAAATATGCAAATTGATCATTTATTCTAATAAACTTCAATCATGTCTTCTTTATTTACTAAATATCTAATTAAGTGATGATAAAGTTTAATATTTTCACGTGAAGGTGGTAGCACTTAGCTGAAAAAGATTATCGTAGGTTCTAAGCTCAAATCTCATTTTTATCGTTTATCATTTATGAAAAAAAAAATTATTTTTTCACAAGTCACATATATAATTGTATTGCATTTTATCTTGGTTGTAG